CCCCAGTATTGGGTGCTTGATTAATATCCTACCCCAAACAGAGAAAATCCACAGGTCAGGGGACAGTCTAATATTTCAGGGGGGTGGTAGATAGGATGCATGCAGTCGTGGGATCTAGGCTGCACTCTCTCGTGGGACATAGGTGGGTTAGGGCCAGTTCTAGATGTTTTGGGGTCGTTAAAAGCCGGGAAACCCACTCTTACCATCCTCTAAAATGTTGGATTGTCCTGTAACGTCATCTGGGGTAGGATATTAATTAAGCACTCAATATTGTTGTTTCGTAAGAACAAACCGCGTCTGCAATTTATTCCTGTGGAATTTTCACCCAGATAGTGGCTTTTTAACCACTGGATATTAGTCTTACAGCTGGAATTCTTCTTCTTCATCTTCTTCTTCTTCTTCTTCTTCTTCTTGTTCTTCTTCTTCTTGTTCTTCTTCTTCTTCTTCTTCTTCTTCTTCTTCTTCTTCTTCTTGTTCTTCTTCTTCTTGTTCTTGTTCTTCTTCTTCTTCTTCTTCTTTCTTCTTCCTTCTTCTTCTTGCTTCTTCTTCTTCTTCTTCTTCTTCTTATTCTTCTTCTTGTTTTCTTCTTCTTCTTCTTTTTCTTCTTCTTCTTCTTCTTCTTCTTCTTCTTCTTCTTCTTCTTTTCTTCTTCTTCTTCTTCTTCTTCTTCTTCTTCTCTTCTTCTTCTTCTCTCTTCTATCTTCTTTCTTCTTCTTCTTCTTCTTCTTCTTCTTCTTCTTCTTCTTCTTTCTTCTTCTTCTTCTTCTTCTTTCTTCTTCTTCTTCTTCTTCTTCTTCTTCTTCTTCTTCTTCTTCCCTTCTTCTTCTTCTTCTTTCTTCTTCTTCTTCTTCTTCTTCTTCTTCTGCTTCTTCTTTTCTTCTTCTTCTTCTCTTCTTCTTCTTCTTCTTCTTCTTCTTTCTTCTTCTTCTTCTTCTTCTTCTTCTTCTTCTTCTTCTTCTTCTTCTTCTTCTTCTTCTTCTTCTTCTTCTTCTTTCTTCTTCTTCTTCTTCTTTCTTCATTCTTCTTCTTCTTCTCTTCTTCTTCTTCTTTCTTCTTCTTCTTCTTCTTCTTCTCTTTCTTCTGTCTTCTTCTTCTTCTTCTTCTTCTTTCTTCTTCTTCTTCTTCTTCTTCTTCTTCTTCTTCTTCTTCTTCTTCTTCAAAAAAAAAAATTCTTCTTCTTCTTCTTCTTCTTCTTTCTTCTTCTTCTTCTTCTATCTTCTTTCTTCTTCTTCTTCTTCTTCTTCTTCTTCTTCTTCTTCTTTCTTTCTCTCTTCTTCTCTTCTTCTTCTTCTTCGTCTTACCTTCTTCTTCTTCTTCTTCTTCTTCTTCTTCTTCTTCTTCTTCTTCTTCTTCTTCTTCTCTTCTTCTTCTTCTTCTTCTTCTTCTTCTTCTCTTCTTCTTCTTCTTCTTCTTCTTCTTCTTCTTCTTCTTCTTCTTTTCTTTCTTCTTCTTCTTCTTCTTCTTCTTCTTCTTCTTTCTTCTTCTTCTTCTTCTTCTCTTCTTCTTCTTCTTCTTTCTTCTTCTTCTTCTTCTTCTTCTTCTTATCTTCTTCTTCTTCTTCTTCTTCTTCTTTCTTCTGCTTCTTCTCTTCTTCTTCTTCTTCTTCTTCTTCTTCTTCTTCTCTTCTTCTTCTTCTTCTTCTTCTTCTTCTTCTTCTTCTTCTTCTTCCTTGCTTCTTCTTCTTCTTCTTCTTCTCTTCTTCTTCTTCTTCTTCTTCTTCTTCTTTCTTCTTCTTCTTTCTCTTCTTCTTCTTCTTCTTCTTCTTTTCTTCTTCTTCTTCTTCTTCTTCTTCTCTTCTTTCTTCTTCTTCTTTCTTCTTCTTCTTCTTCTTCTTCTTCTTCTTCTTCTTCTCTTCTTCTTCTTCTTCTTCTTCTTCTTCTTCTTCTTCTTCTTCTTCTTACTTCTTCTTCTTCTTCTTCTTCTTCGTCCTTCTTCTTCTTCTCTTCTTCTTCTTTTCTTCTTCTTCTCTTCCACCTTGTACCTCATCGAAGTGTTGGGGGTAGATGTAACATTCGTTGATGAGCTCTGTCAAAGAGCACTATTAAGACTGATGTTCATTTCTGTAAGGCTGTTCTCAATGCCATCACTCCATTTTTTCCGAGGTCTTCCAATCGCTCTATACCCGTTGTAACGTTTCAGTGTGGCTCGCTGTGGCAGATAGTACCAGGGCATTCTTGTAAGGTGTCCAAACTACTTCATTTGTTGTTCTTTGATGACCTGTAAGACTGGCTTTATTCCTAGCATTCGGGAAAGACTGGAAAGTGTAATTATATTTCACATACCCAGAGCAAACTAGAGTTACTTTCCTGTATGGGGTTTCGCGGCCCTGTTTTGAGGGAGGGACTTAAAGACTCGTCGTAATAAGCGTGTCGTAAATTAGTGGTGCTTCCTTCAAATTCGGAGTACATCTGTTTGAGAGGCGATGAGATAACAGTCTGTATATAAATAAGAAAGATCTATAAACCAGCTATGCACGCAAAACTCAAGTCCACAAGAGAACGAACAACTTTCCCCCGAGTAATTGCGAAAAACGTAGCTAGGGGAGCTGTACCCCCACCAGGACATCACACAAGTGATAAACACCCGATGACACAAAGTGCCACCATGCGGATGAGCATCACTCGTGGATAATTTCCAGAAACCCCGTTCAACCGTTAGGCCATATTTATGGCCCGGCTATACTTAGGGCCCCCGGCAAAAGCCAGGGTGGGGCGTCAAATAAGGAAACATCGCATCCCACATAGGGACGACAAAAATGTTTGCCAAAAAAAAAAAAAAAAAGAATCACGGACATGACGAGGATTGGGATTACAATTTTTTTTTTTTTTAAAAAAAAGCTCTTTCCCTGCAGGATTGCAGTCTGTAGAACATCTCAAGGATGAGAATCAAACCGGTACAAATCCGGGAAATCCTGTTTAATCGTATAACCACATAGCAAAGTTTTATGAGGTTGACTGCATTGGCCCCATTGGAGGATGGGGTGGGGGTTGAAAAAAGGGGTGGGGGAGGGGCAGGGTTACTGCACTAGCACAAAACAGAGGTGATCACTCGCTGGTGGGGCGGCGGTGGAGGGGGGGGGGGGTGAGGCATGAGGTAATAAGTAAACTGGAAGGTGTTAAAAGGCCCGGATCTCTAGCGGAATTGGCTAAACAGGATTTCGCGGAGACCGGGTGACGTACTCCTTGTGGTCCGGGTTCAATCCCGGGGGTAGGCAGGAAAGCCACATTTTCTCCCAGATTTACGGTATTTACAATGGAATCAAGGCCGAAAGGTTGCGATATCCATAATACCGAGCCTAAGGGTTAACAACTCATGGCTTCTGGATACTAAAACAAACAAACAAACGAAGGTGTTAAAAACCCGTACACGGAAAGAATGATGAACTGGGCGCCCCTCAAGACTGGGGAAAAGGTAAGATGAGAAGTTAACCAGATTTCCACGGGTACCATCAGTGTGGACACCCTTCGCTGGCTGTTGAGGAGAGAGACGGAGCGAATATGAGCTTGTCCTGAAATCTGTGAGTTCGAATCCTCGCACAAATGACTGCAAGAACTTCCTTGTCTAGCTGCAGTGGTCTATCAGTTGCAAATGTTAGTATAAAGATACATCGATAAGATGTCTGAAATTCGCACACATAATTTTTTTTTTGGTTGGTTCTTCCATGACCTGCTCCAGGTGACTGGCCGTGCTGCTGACGTCACCGGGTCGGGCTAACGATGCGGTAACGCAACGGTTCTCAAACAGGGAAAAATAAAAACTATTTTCTACAGTGGCGAGGGAAGAAAACTTAAATTTTAACTTTTAAGAATCTACATTCCTTCTTTAATTTATGTCACAACTTGTTGCCGACTTTACTTGATTATTGCCGCGGCACCCCTGGCATACGCTCACGGCACCCAGGGGTGCCTCGGCACCTAGTTTTAGAACCACTGGGTTAACGGATCGTTAGCCCGACCCGGTGACGTCAGCAGCATGGCCCGTCAGCTAGAGTCAGTCGCAGTTCTTCAGTCTTGTATGCGCGGTCGTAATCAAATATCATCTCGACCGTCTCTCTGGTTACACATATTGATTCAAATGTTATTGACACTATTAAACTATATTACCTTGTTTCAAGTTGACTCTCTCATTCACGGTTTCTGTCGTTCCTGATATATACAACAAACAATTGCCTTCATTTCATTCATTGACAGGCTCTAGTCGTCTGCTGGCCATCTTTCCCTCCATGCCAGGTGCTCGTCGGAGCTGTCAGCTATACGGATTCAGGCAAAGACAATCACTCCATTCAGTTGCCTGCTTGCAATCGCTGTCTCATACAGAATGCCTCTTTATTCTCTCACACCTTGACTTCTCCCCTTTCTCATCACAGGATTCTCAACAATCACACATTTCTTACATGAACACGCAATTATCCCTTTCCCTCACCCCCACCCCCTGACTATTTCTTAACTGGCATACGCACTTATTGACCCGTTCCGTTGGGGAATCCCTTCTGACGTTGTAGGCTTTTCCAAATCATTACAGTGACACATAATCTGAGGCCGGGGTGCCGTGTTCGATCCTAGCTGCGGGCCATGATCCTTACGCTGGTTTCGACAGTGGTATCAAGGGGCCGACCGTCCAGAGGCAATGGCAAACTACTGGACGTAAATTTGCCTAGAGAAACCACACAACAGCCAGGGGCTGCTGGGGTTGGTTCTGCAACGTCCTGTAAAGGATACACAACTAACCTTATAATCTGAGGGATGAATGGCGCAGGTAACATCTGCAGTAATGAACCTCAGAGGCTCAGAATGTTGAAGATGAAGATATGATAAAGCATATAATTAAATTTCTTATCAAAAACTCTCAATGGCGACTAATAAATTCACTTACTTATCCTCCTTTCTCAGGTCGGTCTTACACTTTCTGACTGGTACAAATCTGCTCACGTGGTTAACGCCAGTTTTGCTCTGGAAACAACCTACCCGAAAGTTTACTCCAGCGTGTCCCGGAAGCTGTGCATGACGATGAGTTCTCCCAAAGTTGTAACAACCACACTCTGCGCCATGTTTAAAGTGTTGTTTGAGGACAGCATCACTTGGGGAAAGGTAACATTTTCGTATGAACATATTATGTCGATGCTGGGTTCCTAAACACAGATCTCAATTCTTTGACCTGAATTAGTGATTTCGTAAACATGCACGGGGGGAGGGGGGGGGGGGGTCCTAGTAAAAAAAGAAACATAAAGATTGGCATAGAATACCTCAAATTCTAGCTTGAGAATGGAGGTTGAGACTGTCACTGCAGCTTTCCGGTGGCCTAAGAACCAGCTGTATACACATCTAAAGATCGTATTTGTGAGCAAAGCTTATGAAGCGCGCACGAGAAAGAACACGATTTGGGTGAACACTATTCACTGCCTTCGCAACTGAAAACCTATAAATGGATAACGCCACACCAAAACATTCAGTTCATTTTCGAGCAGTCACGAATGACGCCTCTATCGATAAATTTGGAGAATATTGCTATAGGCCGATTGCAGGCAGGAGAAAGTGAAAGTCAGGTTGCCAGGCATCTAAACGTACATCAGAGTAAAATCAGTCGACTTTGGCACAGGTTCCAAGCAACAGGTTAAGTTGTAGACCGACACCCAGAGTGACAAAAGCAGAGGAGAATCGCTTTATTCGGCTTTATCACCTCAGAGACAGGTTTACAACAGCTTCCTCAACTGCGCAGGCATTGCCTCCAGGACGTCATGTGTCTCATCAAACTGTTCGGAACAGACTGCAGGACGTTCTACTTTGGGCATGACGACCACAACGAGGGCCTGTCTTTACGCGTTCCACCGCGAGAATCGTCTTCTTTGAGCCCACCAACATCGTCTTTTTGCAGGTGACAATAAATGGAGGCGTGACTGGTTCAGTGAAGAATCTTTCTTTCTTTTTTTTTTTTTTTGTTGTTGTTTTTTTTGTTTGTTTAAGCGTCTTGACAGACGGCGGAGGGAGTCAACTGGTGCACATTGAAGGAAGCTTGAATGCACACAATATGTTAATGCAATTCCTGACCACATGTCCTTTCATCTTGAGATGTCAGCAGATATCTTTTTCAGCAGGACAAGGCCAGACCCCATTCTGCACCCAGTTCCTGGCTGCCAATAACATTCAAACCCTTCCCTGACCATCTCTGTCTGCAGACATGAATCCGATTGAGCACCTGTGTGATGAGCTGCAAAGACGTGTTTGTCGCCGAAACGTTGTTCCAGCCAATGGTCGTGATCTGTTCCAGGCACTCCATGAAGAGTAGGCAGCCATCCCACTGGCCCACATCAGACATCTGATCGCATCCATGCCCAGGAAATGCCAGTCAGTGATCCACGCAAGAGGAGGCCACACATCATACTAACGGGACAGGTCGTAGCATTAAAATTATCGTAAACCCAGATGGAGAAAACAAAAGTGTCGATTCATTGGTGGAACCCTAAGGTTTTTATTCTTGTGTAAAATTTGAGTATTTCCCCTTATTTCATTTCAAAGATGCATAATGTTTATGGCATTGTTCTTGTAAAGAGATTCTATAGAATACAGCTGATGTTTACTTGTGAACAGATTAGGCCATTGTTCTTGCCAAGAGATTCTATAGAATACAGCAAATCTTTTCTTGTGAACAGATTATGACAGATTCTAAAGATGATGTTTTCTTGTAAACAGATCGTGTCGATGCTGACGGTAGCCGGGTTGTTCGCGGAGGAGTGTGCCAGTCAAGGCCACGCAGACTTTGTCAAGGATGTGGTGGAGGCTGTTGTTGACTTCACGAGTGTCCACCTGCTGTCTTGGCTGATGTCCCAAGGAGGATGGGTGAGTCTTTTCGGGGAAAACACTTGCAACACATGTGTATCGAACTATGTAGTTCCAGACCTTTCGGAGACATAACGAGTAGATAACCACTTGGTTCTCTGGCTGATGTCCCATAGAAGACGGGTGATCTTTTTTTTTTGTCATTACGTTTAGCACGATCTCTACCAAGAAATCAACCAATGAACTGTGACTGAAAAGAAGAGAGGAAGTTGAGTTGAGTCAAGAATTGAAATCACAGTACTCAGGGCATTCCCATATGCGCTCAGTCACCAACTTCAGCAGCCAGCACAGAGTTTCAATTCTGGTGGTAGCAGTTGTAGTCTGGTTATATGTCCGTCTTGCCGTCCCTCTGAGTGTAGTGAGCCGGCCAGAGCCTCTAGTCACACCCAGGTGCCTCATTCTCTCCAGGTCATAATAATGTAGTTTCTTTTCTGACTCCTTTGCTTGTTTCCATAAGGCCTTGACCACATCTGGCTTGTCATGTATCAATTCACCACCCAGCGGTGCAGATCCAGAAAGAGAGCAAAAGGGGAACAACTGCACAAAACAGACAAATCAACATTTCGGCCAGAGCCTTTGTAAACATGAATTACATATCAGTAACAAAGGGTGAAGTTGTTCTCGCAAATGTTCTACTGCTTGTAGAGCAGTGGTTCTCAACCTGTATGTCGCGATCCCTTTGGGGGTCGAAAGACAATTTTGCAGGGGTTGCCTAAAAATTATAATATATTCACTGAAGTTATCAAGTAACAACGAAAATAATGTTATGGTTGGGGTCACCTTAACTGTATTAAGGGGTCATTAAAGAATTTAAAAAAAAAATAATGTTAGACCAATTATTTTATAATGGTCGTTTGTAGGGATGTATGTTGATACATTTGTACACTTTAAGTAAAAAAAAAAAAAAAAAAAACAACAACACGGTTGCCATAGCAACAACCGCCATCTTGATAAAAAACAACATGTACTTAGGGTCGCGGTATAAGTAAGGTTGGGAACCCCTGTTGTAGAGCATTCAGTATATCAGCCTGGTCAGTGGCTCGTCTATTTTCCCATTGACCAGGCTGAGATACTGAATGCGCTACCACAGGGGATATTAAACTGGCGGCCTGCGGACTACATAGGTACACACGTGTGGAGATTTATTTTATAAACAAGTGCAGCGATGAGTGGTGATTATTTTGATAGCCTATTCCACCCTTTATGAAAAATCTGTATCTCACGGAAAACTTATGCTGGAGGTGATCACCTAAGCGCGTGTACACTTCATGTTATTTCAAATATACTATTACCTTTGTTTGACATTGAGAGTCGCCGTGGCGTAGCGGCCTGCGGATCGGAAGGTAGTAGGTTCGCTCCCTGGCGGAGCCGGACTTTTTCAGAAATGACCTTGGCTTCCAGGGCGACCCAGTCTTGAGTGGGTACCGGGTGTAGTCCCGGGAAGTAAGGCCGGCCGGCGTGATGCTGACCACATCACTTATCTTGTGCCGATTGGTCTATAAAAATATAGGTCTAGCCCTACATGCCCTATATGCCTAAGCGTGGAAAAGGGTCCTTTACTTTACTTTTGTTTGCTATTCAGTAGATAATAATAGTGACGGTAGTGATAACAATAACAACAATAATAATACGATGGTAGTTGCAACGAGAAAAAAAAACGACTTCGGAACAATGATACCAGGAGAAAAGTCGGCACAGAACCAATACTGAATTTTATAGCGAGACAACAAATCAAATGGTTTGGCCATGTAACAAGATTAGCAGCAGACAGAAGGCCACAGAGAGCAATTTTAAACAGATAGAACGGTAACAGATCCAGAGGTCGACCACGGAGAAATGGACCGCGGAAATATCAGAGACACTGAAAAGTACCTAATACGAAACGAACAGAAGGGCCCTTTCCAAAGACCTCTTCCTGCCCTGACGCCAAAAGGCATTCCAAGAGTAGAAAGCAGAAGAAAAAGGTAGAAATTATAATGATGAATATGATGTTGATGAGCACGATTGTAGCGATGTTGATAATTACAAGAACTTTTTAAACAACGCCTATAATAAAATTGAGTGGGGGGAAAAACATAGACTGAAATACTTGGCCAATCAGAATGAATGTAGAGACGCCAGAAAAGAGAGCGTACAACGTCAAAGTAGAAACACCAAGAGCTGTTGAATGTTGAATTAAGCATTGACATCACAGCATTCAGGACACCCCCATAAGCACTCCATCCCCATTTTCAGCAGCACAGAAGAGTTCCAATTTCAATGGTACCAAGAGCTGAGGGACGACCAAGAAAAGGTTGGATTGAAGCAGTCGTGGATACCTTAAGACTCCACAGCATACCTGGCAACCAAGCGTATCCTAGCTCCTAAACCGATCGCCTGCTAACCTGCGACGTTTAAAGAAACAAAGTAGAATAAAAAAAAAACTATGATGGTGATGACGATAACGATGATGACAACGATGATGATAATGATGATGATATAAACAATTGCTTTTACTTCCAGGAGGCGTTCCCGGCTCCAGATATCAGGGACAGAAGCAGGTTAAGCAAGCTACGTCTGCTAATTCTGACAGGAATAACATCAGTGGTTGTCATAGCAACATCAGCGTTTTTTGACTTGTGGAGACTGTATTGATACCAACCACCTGGTTTTGTGATATTCTGAATGTCCAAGCTTTGTTTTCAGGTTGCCAAGATACACAGAATGTTGAGAATGAATCTTTCCACCCCTTATCTTCCCCATCCTCTGTCTGTCTGAGTCAACTTGTACGACATGCTTGTTAAAGAGCAGTGTATCTATTCTCGCCCTTCCCACCCCAGGGAATTTGTTCTGCAGGCAGAACTGTGCATGAGGCCAGAGGTGCTTTCTGTATGACTACTAGCAGAATGACAATGGAGGTGATGTCGGTAACACGAGCTTTTATGTGGCTAGCATAGCAAGGCTGAGTGATTCCATGAGCATGATCCGGCGGGTCGAGGCGAGATTGGTACGCAGACAGTGGATTGAGTCTTTGCAAAACTCCACTGTGCGTGGAGTTACGTTAATCTTTGTCCCAGGGCATGCGGGTGTTGTTGGTAATGAAAGAGCCCATAAATTAGCCGGCTCTGCATTAGTTACAGAAAACCGGCCCATGGATCATGCAGACAATGTTAATGCCATTAGAGAGGTAGGACGATCGGAGGATTTTGGGAGCAGCAAATACACATCTTTGCTAAGAGTGCAAGAATAGGGAGTAAAGATCGACACAGCCAGGCACGAGAAGCACACCAGATGTACAATAAGTCTTGTGAGCCAACACAGGACTGGACCTAACAGACGTGGGACACTGATGTATATGTTGAAGGGGGAATCTGAGTACCTATGGACATGCCCGAAGTGCAGTGAAAATAACCCAAATCATCCCATAACTCATGTAATTTAATCATTTGCATGTTTTTCTGTGGTAAGTTGTTGAAACATAAAACATCGCAAGTTATGCAAGATATATTAGGCCTGGTTGTCTATTTGTTGTTGGAGATTGAACAGGGTGTTGTGTTAGTCTGCCATCCTCAGGGGGGCTGCGTGGTCTCGAGGCAGGATGTCCGCCTCAAATGCTAGAGGTTACGGGTTCAATCCCCAGTAAGAGCTGGGATTTGGACTTCTTGTAATTCTCTCTCCCCCCCCCCCCGGTCTCTGGGTAGTGAGATCGGACGCCCGTGTGCATTTCTGTGCACGTAAAAAAATCCCTTGGCAGTTGGAAATCGAAAAGAGTAGCCTAACGGTGCTGTCCGGGCAAAATTTGGAGTAAAAAATCCAGACAAAGTATTTCAGGATCCTCGCCGGTGCAACAGAGCCTGTGTACTGTGCTGAGCTTCTTCGGACTCTGACTTGAGTTCGATTTTTTTTTCAAAAATAACCTTGGTTCCCAGGTTGACCCAGCCTTGGTGGGTACCAGGTGCAGTCCTGGAAAGTAAAAGCGGCCGGCGTGATGCTGTCCACATCGCCTATCTTGTGCCGTTGGTCTAAAAAATGTAGGTCTAGCCCTATATTCCCAATTCGCATGAAAGGCGTAGAAAAGGGTCCTTCATTTTTTTTTTTTCCAAATCTGTATATACATTTTTATGTTTAATAACAAGAGTTATGCTTCTTTGGTCAATGTTTGCAGAGCCATTTTTGTTTTTCTGACAATGACTATTAAGAATATCGTTTGTGGGCAATATTCTACGTGTGGTTCTGAGGCTCCTTTGGGGGGGGGGGGGGGGGGTGAGATGGGTAACTAAATCTACTTCTCCTTTTCAAGCATGTCTTGAAGGGCGAATAATTAGGAATAGTTTAAATCGAATGAGTTGTGCCTCATTCTTAGATATCACAGCCTAGCTGTAAACCAGAACACAAGATGTCTTCCCTTTGTGGGATGCAATTTTTCGTTATTTCAAGCCCAACTCTGGCTCTTTCCAGGGGCCGCAATATAGCCAGGCCATGAATATGGTCTAATGGCTGAACGCGGTTTTTGGGACCTCTCCACAGGTGATCCTCATCCACATGGTGGCACGTTGTGTCATCGGGTGTTTATCGCTTGTGTGATGTCCAAGTGGGGTAGAAAGTACTACTCTTACTACTTCCAGAACACAGTGCGATATATTTATATATATAGACATTTATTAACAAAAAGACAATGCATCTGTCGGCACTCATAGAAAAAACGTATACAGATAGAAGGACACAATAGGCAACATAAAAATCCAAAGCTATAGTTACCGTTCGGGGAATCAAACCTGTCACCTCCAAATGGCATGTGCGCTTCGATATGAAAACAAGCGTACTAAGAGCTCAAAAGTGCTCCGTTCTTCTTCTAACTCGAGTCTGGCATGTAAAGGCGGCCGGCGTGATGTTGTTCACTCTCATCCAACGAGTACTGATTGGTCTATAAAATATACGTTTTTCCCTACACGCCTGAAGTCATAGAAAAAGTCATGTACTTTAATATTTGATTGTTCTTCATGGGAAAAATCCGGTGAGGA